CAAGTTTCTTATTTTTATGCCTCGTCAAAAGGAAAGCTATAATCTTTATCCAACATTAACTGTAGCAGATGTTCATTTAGAAAAGTCCTTTTGTGTAGAATATCTTGGCATGACCATATTGACTACATATGTGGCAAATTAGCAAAAATATAAAGATAATGGTTCAGTTGAAGCATTATGTATCAAAAGCAACACTTATTAGTGTGTATTATTCTTATTATTCACAGCAGGCATTTTAACTTAATTGGTGACTCGTGGATACACTTATTGCGAATGACAGAGGTTTATAATTCTTATTCAGTCAGTTACCTTTTTATAGCATGTAGGAGCGTAATGAGCTATATCCATTGTTCATTTGTTGTTAAAATATATATAATTCTAACTATAATTTTCAGAATTTGTTGAGTTTTTCGAAATTTGCAGCAGTCACTTTACAGTAATATCCACAAGATTTAATAAATTTTCCTTTATTTTTTTGATTTGTTGTGTTTTGGTTGACACGTTTTAAAGCAGACAATAAAATATTTAAGGAATTTGCTATTAGTTCCCACAACTGTACACGCTTTGTTAGAGTTATTTGAGAATCTTTGTAAATATTAATAAGATATCACCAAATAATAAATGGAAGGTTTATCTTGGAAACTATGGTATTTTTCTGCGCAAAATGATTTTGAGTTGTCAACAAAAGTAACTCTTCAAGCCTTTGTGCTGAGATTGATACATACATCCCAGTGTGACAAAACAGCACAACTAATGACAAAACTATTCACAAACCTTAACTAAGCAAAATTACCTTTTCCCTGTGTGATGAACAATTGTTGTAAAAATGATAATTCCCATGTTCCCTTGTTTTGTATCCTATTTGCCAGCAATCTTAACACTAATTCCCAATGGATATTCATCATTTCTACTTGCCTTTTCTTTTATCTAAAACCACTTCTACTGTCTATGAATGATTCACCACACAACAATAAACATATTCCAAACTTTGACACCATCGTTTAGCCCATTGTATGTTTTGGCGATTCACTGCTACAAACTGGCTGCGTAAGAAGGTAGATCTCCCTTAGCAATAACCTCATTACTAAGCCTAATGTTCACCAGTATTCCTCCTGCAACAAACAGGTCTAGCACTACCAATTGTCTTGTCAGGCAACACATTCTTGCCAATATACTTCCATGCAAATTTCTTTTCGCATCTCATTACTTCACCTAATAAAATCAAATCTTTCCAACACAAATCACTCACTTAAAACCATAAATGCAATTCAAATAGAGATATTACTATCTCTAATTTGCAATGCTACTTTTAAAAGCTACATTTAAAAAGTAAATTCTTAACCAGTCTGTACTATCTTTCAGACAGAATAAGTATCATTTTGTTTTTGTGCCATCATAACTAGTTTGTTATAAGTGAACAAAGATGGTGAACTTTATGTGCGTTTATAATTTAAATAACATGACACATTATTGCAAAGTAGAATTTATTGAGTTTATAATAATTTGCCCAGTATATTTGTACCAACACCTTCCTTTTATATTCAGGTTGAGATCAAGTGCTGATTGGTGTCGTCCCTAGAGTGTGTCCTGTGTCCTCCAATCAAAGTCTAAAGTCTGTGTTCCAATTGTAAGTTGTTCCAATAGCCAATTGTAAGGAGAACAGGTGAGTTATCTACTGCTATTATATTGTTTTGTTACACTAGTAAAAGTGAAAACAAGTGAGTGGGTCACAACCTTCCTGTAAAATTGTCTGCTTTCAATTTTTGTTTCTGAGAAACCAAAATAAACCTACCAGAATTTTGCATATCAAACTTGAAAGACAACCGAGAAGAAATGTGCGAGTATTTTTGACAAAATTTTAGCCAGGTCGAGGTGTTTAGAAATGAGAACAAACACAGTCTTGAGTGTTTGATATATCTTCTCAGTCGCTACTAAAACTGACGAGAAAATGGAGAATTACAATCATAAAAATCTACGGTAATGAAGATCAGATATCCAAACACCATTATGGTCCTGACTTCCTTTGTTTTTCCAATTTATGAGTTTGAGAATTTTCTGTGAAAAGATGGCAGTTAATGTTTGAAGACCTTGCTAAGGTTTTCTTTCATTAGTTGTTTTAAAAGTACTATTTTTTTTATTGTCTGTTTGTTGAATACATATCAATCTTTTTTGTGAAGGGACAATCTAAAGATTCTGCTGGAAGACCTTAATAATCAAAAGAAGATTCTCAAAGACAATGGGATTGATGTGGATGACAAACATTACCAAGTACAATTTGTTGGTAGGTGTTTATTCTTAAGCAAAATGTTGAGGGTATTGTACACCATGCCCTTCCAGTAAAAAAAACTGAAGGATTCCTTCAGTGATCTAACCACTGCTAGAAATTTGATTCTGAAACGAGTCACATTTTGTCAATCCAGGATTGATGTAAGTAAATGTTCTATTTCTTATAATTACATCACATACATGTATAGTTTGTCAATGTTGATGACTTGAAGGCCTATTTGAACTTAACATGTTCACAATTGCTTAGGATGGCACCCACGTGTTTCATCAGAGTGTGCCTCTACATGTATTGTATACCACCATTTACTGTGGCACCCAGGTGTTTCATCAGAGAAGCTCACGAGTCTTGGTGTGCTACTGTGTGAGTAAATTGTTAAATTTACTGACCTAGTGTTATTTGTTAATTACTAAGTTATATAGGTTCTGGCACTCATGAAATTATCTGACTAATTAATGTGTTGCATAATGAGCATGTCATAACAAATCCACTTTTCAACTTTATATTTTACAACTTGAGATGTATGTGCATGTAGTATTTTGCAGATGCTATTAACAGGTGTGTTTACTTGGGACTTTGGTACCCATACTGAACAATTAGAGCTTGATGGGACAGATAGGTTCTCTATAATGTTCTAATTCATTAGAATTACACTAGTGTGAGGCAGACTTCATCCTGTTACCCAAAACAAAAATTAATATTACTAGAATTGACAAGTTTATGTGTTGGAATACCAGGTACTGTTGTTTATTCAAGCAGTCTTTTGCCAACATAACAGTGGTGATATTAAGACATTAAAAAGATGTCATTTGATTCTAAAGGGACAATTCATACAGTGTACATGTATGTGTTATTATTACTAAACAGTTTACCCTTATGCTCTTGTTTAAGATGTTAAACAAGATATGGAGCTGAAGCAGAAAGCTTGGGGACAAGAACTAAAGGAGTTCACAGAGTTATTTAAACAATTGTGCAAGTGTCGCAGCAAGAAATTAGAGAAAGAAAATTAACACCTTGCTGTGGATGTTGCAACCAAGCAGCTGGAGATGTTAAAGAGGGTATAATGCATTGATTTCATTGCAAAGTTACAGGGAATTCATCAATGCTTTCAGCAGGAAGCTAAGGCAATATTGGTATTCATAGACATTGGGGCACAGCATAAGTGTAATATGCAGAAACTGCCTCTATCTAAATCAATATAAAAGGTGACTGATGGTAGTGCTTCCTTGAATTTTCTCAGGCCATGAATTCAGGTTTTTGTGATCTCTAATTAAATAGTGATACTAAATTAACTAGTATATGTGTTTATGATGAATTAATCAGTGTTCAAATTCTTTTGTAAACAGGTAGTCATTGACTTTTTATTGTTGTTTTCTGGTGGTATTTAAATTTCAATCATTGTTAATTCTTGACAGAAGTTCTTGCACTTTGTTCAAAAACTCATTAATAATTCATAAGCCCATTAACCTATCAAATGGTAGATAATACACCACGTGCAGTGACTTTATATCGATAAACCTCATCCTTATTAGTATGCGGTGTTTTATCAGATATAGACACTGCACGTGACTTATGAATATTAATTAATTATTCCTAATGTTTTTCTCGTATGCTAATTTCTAACGTTCACAAAAGCATAATTGTTATGAACTCTCTTGACACACGCTTTTCCAAGAATGTTTTTGAAGCCGTTCAAAAAACTCACAGCACGTGTTTTATCGGGTCAAAAACCACTCCGCTACGCCTCGTGGTTTTAAACCCGATAAAACACTCCTGCTCGTTTTTTAAACATTACTTAAATGTATAATGGATGAAACTTCTGAAGAAACATATAGCTGCCAGAAATTAATATATAGTTAATCAATCAGTCACTCATGGTGAATTTTTGTTTAGGTTTGTAAAGAGTGGAAAGAGATTGCCTTTGTAACAAGAAATAAGTTTTTCAAAGACACAGAGCAAGAAGGCATGATTTGCTTGACATCAAGGTATTTTATGAGCTTAAAGTATGAAAAAATGAGTTTTCATTAGGATGATTTAGACTTCAAGTACCAGTTGAAAATCTTAATTCATGTGTCCTGACTCATGCTTTAGTTAAGCATAAATTGCACTGAACTCAGTTATATATTAACCTACTTAAAGGTACATGTACTCTATCAAAGCAAAATTTTGTATAAAATCTAGTGCGAAGAGTGAGGTTTTCTACATAATAAGGACCAGCACCAATTGTGGTTAAAGGTGTCCAGCCATGACCAACGTGGAGAAGCCTCCTCCAGTAAGCTGAGTGTCCTGTGTTTTATGAAAAGATGGTAATACATATTTCTTACTAAAACGTTATTAAAGGTTTTGTAGTTAAATGCTTTTTCCCTCAAAAGTAAATGATTACATTGTACAATACGTCTTAGCTATAATTGTCCCATATCCAATAAGCACAAGTGGAATAATATTGCTTTACCAAAAATGCACCCCCCCCAAAAAAAAACAACCAAAAACAGAGAGCTAAAATAAGAAATAAAAGTGCCCCTAAGAATAACCCTTACAATTTTTGTAGAGCTCATAATTAGGCAATGATTGCGTCATTGCTCAATTATACCCTGATATGACCCAGTTTTAATAAATAAGTAAATCTGTTCTTCTTTAGTTGAAGATAAGTTGTACTTAGTATTGTTTTGTGTCTTTGGTAGGTGAACAGATATTGGTGGATTTATATGCAGAAAGAATGCTGTTTATGCACTATTGTATCTGGGAAGCATTAAAATCAGCCAAAGGTAAATTTTAAACATTTTAGTGAATTTTAAATTAAGCTATTAATTGAAATTAAATTTGTCTCAAATGTTCATGGGAAACTGTAATGATGAGATGTGGTGGTTTTGTGAATTAGCTTGAGTTCATATTTTGTACCAAAGTACTTGTTTCTTTTCTATTTCCAGGCAAAACCCATAAGCATCAGACCCTCTTTCGTTTTTATTTCCATGGTTGTGGGTGGAAGGCTAAAGATGTCTTTTGGGACCATGGTGAAATCCTTTGGTTGAAGGTCATGGATCAACTTATGACCATGATGTCTGGTACTGGTTCCCTGTCTTATGAGTAATGACAAGAAGAGAAACTGCCATGTACAGGATGAGGATTTGCCTCAATTTGTTTATGACATGGAGGAGTGGGTCTCAACTGACAGCGACATGATCAGTGAAAATGAAACAGTAAAAGGTGATATTTCTTGCCCTATGCAACTCTAGGTGATTACTTTAAGTCCAGGATAATAATAATGCTTCTAAAGTCCAGCATTTACTTTTATTTTACTTTGTAATTCATGCTACACATGTTTCAACTGTACAAGATAATCCATAGTTAAAATTTTACAAAGCTGATCATTTCAAGAATACAATATTGTCCAGGATTGGTAAAAGAGCAATTTGTCCTTAAGGTGTTACATTTTGAGTATGACAACCTTGACTATCTTCAATTTCCATTCACCATGTCGGCTTGAATGTACAATTTTCTTTAACTTGATTTTATTGTGGTTTTGAATGTAAATATGCTTCATTTCATTGCAATATTCCATGTGAAGCTATGTACCAGTCAGAGTTGTGGAAGTATTTGTTGCAAACACACAGCAACTGCACAATACTAGGATCTATAGCTGGAATAGATATGCTATTTTATTATTTATTTCCTCAGTCAATGTCGGCATTACACAGACGTCTAAGGAGGGTGAATGCAGACATCAGATGATGAAAATGAATGTAAACATTTTTAATTTTATTGCAATATTCTATGTGACCTTAAAGCAGAGTCCTAAATGTAAGTCAGAGTTGTGGAAGTCTTTGTTGCAAGACTCGTAGAAATTTAGTCCTTTCCTACATTCATTTAAGCTATAGTACATCTGAATTTGTTTATTTGTTTTGACCTTAAGCTTGTATGATTACTCATCGAACGGCTGGCGTATAATCTCTTTCTGAAATCATTTGTTTACATCACGGTTGCTATGACGCTTATCAATCGATACTGAACTCTCCATTGCTTTGGTAATTGTTATTAGAATAATTTGAAAGGTTACTACTTGATAGATGTATTAAACTTTACGATCTTTAAAATGATTACAGATCGAACTCATCTTTCTACAAACTCACTAGTTACTACCTACACTGTCACGTTTAAGTTGTTGAATCACAACACTTGCACGTGCCGACATTCGATGTAAATCACTCTCTGAATATCGAGTTATTAACGTTGAACTGTTTTTGCTGTACGTATCACCAGTATGCCTAATTTTCATTATGAAGCGAAGAAGCAAGTTTTCAATAGCTTTATTTGAAACTCTTACCGATCGATAAAACACGCTATTTGAAGGCGATCGAACAAGGAGGGAAGACTGGTAACAATTACTTTCGAAATCAACATGGTGTCCTCAGCCTGGATTGTCATGTTCGCATGTTAACTTTGTAGTGGATAATACTGTCAAAACTAAAAGGTTTTTCGTTCAAAAAAGGAAAAGTTATAGAAGTAGTCGTTCGAATAGGGAGTTCTTTACATTCACACGGAGAGAGAGATTTGTACCTTTCCTTTCTTCAAGTAAGAATAGTGATCGGTTCACGAGCATTTTGATCTAGTTAAAGTTATTACGTAAATACGTACGTCGGATCTTGTGAAGGTGAAATGTCTTATCAGTATCAATCAGTATACCTTTTATATTGATGTTTCTCACTTATGATTATTGTGCGAAATGACCACTAAGAATTGTGTGAACGGTCCAAAACTTGTGCTAAAAGACTTGTGCTAACAGTCTTTTGTGCAAAATGCCCGGTTACCGTTCTAATGGGGCCCACATACACACAGGTCGCCCTTGATCACCTCAGTGACACCAACACCTACCAAAAAGTACCCTGCATATCAGCCAAGACAGTCAAAAATATAGTTAACACAGCCTGGAAGAAGATCTGCCTACAAAATAAAATCGCTTCCTTTCTCCAAAAAAGCCTCTTTGCATCAAACACGGACCTGCCCAGATTCTACCATCTAGTTAAGACCCACAAAGCAGGCCCCGATATTAAAATACAACCCATCATATCCAACATCAATGGACCCACCCAACACATTTCATGGCTTCTTGCCAAAGCCCTTAAACCGATGCTGAAAATGTCCCAGCCCACTTAGAAAACAGTCTCGAACTCATTAGATGTATCCAAGCTGCGATCTCACCACAAACAAAGCGTTACCATATCCATGCAGCCTTGATGTATTTGGTACTTTTTGGTATTTTTTATTTTCCTCCATTTTAACATATTAGAGTCTCAAGAGTAATTACAAGTAAGATAAGAGGATGGAGAGGGGCGTAATATAGCAAGCTAATTAGATGCCCTTTACCTTAAGTTACATTTTTTCATACAGTAAAGAGAAGCGATACAAATATAAGAGAGGGAATAGGAACCACACCTTAAACAACAAATATTTAAGTAAACATGGTCAGAGGAAGACTTTAATCGGTACTGGGAAAGGTAATGTGAGAAAAGTGCTCTTTTAAAAAATTTTTTAGTGGGCTTCTCCCGTATAGTTATAGGAATATCATTCCAATAGTAGCACTCTATAACTGTTGGGAAGAATTTCCTTATATTTATTCTGAAGGGGCTAGGATTCAGGTGTTGCAAAGATGTACTTCTAGTGGCATAATCATCTCAGATACAAAAGAAAGTTCAAAATTAGAAGATTTTTTGTCTACAATATGATCATAGAATAGTTGACACGTCCTCAATTTAATTATGTCAGGAAGCTTAATTAGGCCAAGGCCTACATAATGGGGAGTAACATGGTCACAAACTGGTACATTGTTGATGATTCTTATAGCTTTATTTTGTAGCTTTACCAACTGAGACTATGAAGCTTCGTAATTGCCCCACAATATGCAGTTGTATGTTAAATGAGGATGTACAAGTGCATAGTTACACTTACAAGAGATGTAAGAGCCTTGATGTAGTATCCTTATACACCACAATATCCATACAAGAAGCCATTACCAACGCTACAGATAGAATTTAGAACCTAATACTCCACCTCTCCAAACAAGACATCTAAGACCTACTCTAAGTCATGCTAAACAACATGTACTTCTCCTTCAGAGATCAAGTTTTTGGCCAGAGAGAAGGCCTACCATGGGTTCTAGCATTCCAGGCGTATTCGCCATTCTATTCATGGGTAAACTAGAAACCATCACCCTCTCCTTGCACCTAATGATAAGACCTTACAAGAGATACGTTGACATCTATCTCTCAATAAGTAATAAAGAAACAACAGACCATATAATAAACAGTGTGCACCCTAATTTGAAATTCGAAATTGAAAAACCAGAAACAACACCTTGTGGCCTGTCATCATCATTAGTCGATTTCGAAGTCACCAGATCCAAGGATAGCAACCAACTATTCGTCCACCATTAATCTGCTATTCCTACCAAATCCAAACTCAACTTCACTCCCAATGAACGAAAACGGATCAAGGACAGATGCCCCTTGCATATATCTGCAACACAACACCTAAACACATTTGACAACATCCTTTGCCTTAACGATTACCCAGAGAACAGTATAGAGCACAAAACGCCCACAAAACCCCAGCGAAACCCTCAACCTGCTAACACAGGATGGTCGCATCTTAAGATCCTGTACATTTCTGAACGACTCAATCACAAGATCACTAACATCTTTCCAAAAGAAAACATCCCAGTACACATTGCCCACATATCCTACATGCTCAGACCAGCCTTATCCCACACCCCAAGGAGCACAAATGCACTAGAGAGGAATGCCCTGTCTCTAACACTGGATTGTGTTTAAGACAAAATGCAGTACACCAGCTCATGTGTTACAGCTGCGATCAACAATACGTTAGTAGCACAACACACTTTATCCACTACCACATAAAAGAACATCTCAATAATGAAAACTCATCTATGAAAAAAAAATCTATTCCTGCCAGAACAGACTATACAGGCATTGTTGTCAAGATTATTATGAGCAAAAGTGACCCAGCTAATCTATGCCTTTATGAAGCATTTTACAATAGAAAGTGCAAGCCTACACTCAACTCCCAAGAAGAATGTAGTGAATTCACAGACCTTCTATTTTAGTATTTTATTTTATAGACCATTCTCTAGCGCTTTTAGAGGTCCTTTGTCTAGAGACAGTCCATCATTAAAGCCTTTTGTTCCATTCACAGTTTATTTCCTTAGCTTTCATACATAAGTTACATCTTTTACACATTTCACCCTGCACTTTCTTTGCATGAATATGGCGCACCCAGAATATTTTCTTATCCCTGATGATGCTGTTGAACAGTGAAAGCTTGGATTTTACATTTTACTTTTTATACAGCAGTTTAAGGCTTCATTAGAACAGTTTTATATTTATAAAAAAAGAAATTCAAAGATTAGATTCCTCGAGATTCCTTAGAGTCCTCAAGAAGGGACAAATATGGCTGGAAATTTGAAAGTGCTGTTCTGTGCATGGTTGATTTTTACCTTACAGTGTTATGTACTCACTTTATTGGACCACCTTCTCTGATTTACACACAGTAGTTTGTTTAGGCTGTTTTACAGAGACATCAAGACCTGACGCCAATAGTGGTGGTCTTGTTTGATGAGTGATGAGAGTGTCAATGTTATCAGGTAAGCTAAAAAATATCCAAAAAATAATTTCTTATAAAAAGTGCCCTAAACAGAACATGCCAGAAGTAAATGTTGTTATCTTAAGCTTAAATTATTTGAAAAAAATTCCACCTCTTGTGAAAATTTCTATTCACATCTGTATATGTTTTTTTTCTTTTTTCTCGTGCTTAAAACACAAACTTTAGTGAGGGCCATGCACCTGACTCTCCACCAGTTTTCCAAATGTAAAGATGTACATCTTTCTCCAGTCTTGTATTGTTTTTTAGTATAGATTGAAGGATATTCCTTTTATTCCAAAGGACACCTAATCAGGGTTCGTACACTTTTGACCTGTTAAAATTCCATGACTTTCCATGACTTTTTCCATGACCTTTTGAAACATTTCATGACCTAAGGTAAGCAATAATTACTGGTATTGTTCTCAGACAGTAATGTCAAAACAACAATTTATTTGACCAGATAGTTTTTGAAATAATAATTCAGTTTAACCGAAATGAACGAAATTTTCTAAAACAAAACCGCTATGAGACAGTTCTTTCCCTTTACATAGAAGATAACTACAGCTTCACAAGCTAGCACTCTTCTTAGCCAGCTCTCTCAGCTCATCTTCAATTTTCCCTAGGGCTCTCTCCTTTTCTTTTGCTGCTTTTCTCAGTGCATTAGACTTAGTGAGAAGTACAGGCTTGGCTTTTTCCTCTGCTTCTTTTGCTAGAGAGTCTGCATTAAGTTGAGAGGCACTAATTTCACTGGCAAGGCGCTTTTTCTTTTTCTCAAACTCAGCTTTTTTCCCAAGAACTATTTTCCACTTCCTGTTTCGAAATGCTTGCTGTTGCTCTTTCTTCTGCTCTTCAAGATAGGCAGAGTAATGTTGCCTCCCTGCAAGAAGTTCCTTGTTAACAACCACCTGACCTAAGCCTCCAATGCTCTGAATGTGGTCATGAATTGTACACTGTGCAACTAATGTTTGTTCTTTCATGTTTTTGATCATAACTTGCCAGTTTATGGAAAAACCTCTCTCGCCAGTTGCTTGACCATGGGAAAGAATCAAGAGTTCTCTCAGCAGATCCCATAATTTGGACATTGAACTAACAGAACCAATGTGTTTCTGCAGAAACATATCCAGCCTGTCCACCTTGAAGTTGAATTCTTCCATGGCTGATTTCTCAGCCTTAATTGCCAGATCAAGAAACTCAGAGTACTGCAAAACTAAGGAATCACAATCACGTATGTTCAATCTTCTGCATTTCACCAACTCGCTCAGCCCTACGTTGAACTTTGCACAGCAACCTTCTTTGTCAGTCATAATCCTGTTGGGGTCCAGACATGTCAGATTTCATGCCAAAGAGTAGGCTAGTGGTGTCTTTTCAAACAGCTTGTTGACAATAGTAGTTAAGAAGGACTGAAACTCACTCTTGAACTGGTAAATCTGAAAGTAACAATAATATTAAGCGCAGCACAGACAAAAATTCAGTTTCTGGTATTTTTGGCAATACTGTCTGCAATGGGTTAGGACAAGGTTAGTAAGTCAATGAGTCTCTGAAGGAAGCATTATTTCATTCCATTTTCATAGGAAATTATTGTATTGTATTTTGTTTAAAGTGACAAAATATATTTTGAGAAATTTTATATTAAATATCATATTTATGCACTGTGTTGGACATCAATGGCCATCTCTCTAGATTTCTTAACACAGAAAAAGGGAAAATAAAACAAGTTTGTTCTCATAATAGCTACCTGGCAATCACTGACTTTTTTGTCTGCCTGTAATTTCTTGAGCTTGTGCACAGCAACAAATCCAATATCCGCCTTCTTGATCTCAAGTAAATTTTTCATGTCTGAGAGGTCTAACTTTAGAAGCTTTACTGCTGAGGCAGCCTTCTGAAGCACATCAGCCTTAAAATATCTCTTCATCAGTCCCACAATCATCTTGTGTAGAGTGCTAGCCATGAAAGGTAGAAGTGGGTAGTCAAGTTGAAAAATTGCCAGGAAGAGTTGAAGCTGCTTTGGCACTGACTCAAAAGCTGCCATCTTTGCTGGCATGAGTGCATCCTTGACAGCATCTCATTTAATCTTGAATGATTTTGATGTTGGGGTACTAAATTTCTTGTCAGTTTGCACTTTTTGAACATACAGAATGAAATTGTCCCAAATTTCCTGAGCTCGTACTACAATGGGTATGTTCTCCAGCCATCTGTGCTTACAAAACTTCAGAGGAAACACGCTGCTTCTTGTTATTTCCGTAAAATCTTCTTTCCTTGCTGGTGAGTCTACAAATAATTAATACAAAGATGAAAGGACCTCTTCTACATTCCATTCA